TTTTATGGAAATTAATGTTTTTTTTCAGGATTCTTTAATGAATAGAAAGTTCAAAAGAAAAGCATTTATTTGAAATAGAAATCTTTTGTATCATTATAAATGTCTTTACTGTTACTTTTGATCAATTTAATGCATCCTTGCCGGAATTTTTTTTAAATTTTATTCTTTAAAAAAAAAAAAGAATATTATACTGACCCCAAACATTTGAACAGTAGTGTATATTAAGAAAAGGTTTCGGTGCTCACCTGTTTTAGTGTTGGGTGCAATGCATTACTAAGTTATTAATTACTGTAATTTAATTACTATTCCATTTAAAAAGTAAGGGATTTAATGGAATTTAATTCCAGTTACTTCTGATGTAATTGCATTAAATACTGTACAGACTACAGAACAATTCTATATAAAACAATAGTGAATTTAAAATCAAAATGTAACATCTAATGTTAAAATGTATGCTTTTAATGTAACCTTGTCCTTTTAAATACTTTGGTCAGTTGAAGAATAATTTATGCAATTTTATATAATTTTTTGAAAGAATTAAAAGAGCTCTTGTATTGTTCAACTGGTCAAGGTTGATATAGGATTTAGAAAGTAATAATTACTAATAAGTAATGCAATAGTTTTTAGAGAGAGTACTGAGTACAGTAATCCAATTACACTGTAGAAGATGTAATTAGAAGTGAGTAATTCATTTTTATTTACCCAACACTCTTTATAATTGTCTTTACTGTCACTTTTAATCAATTTAATGTGTGCTTGTTGAATAAAAGTATTAATTTCTTTAAAAAGAAAAATCTTCCGGACCCCAAACTTTTGTATATTGAGAAATATTGACCTGGTTTTAAACATGTGGCTTAGTTAGCTGGAGAGTGAACTGTGACTTGTACTAAATCCTTTCTATTTTCTGCTCCCACTCACTCTGATGTCTCAGATTTCCAGCAGCTTTCCACATTATTTACACGAGTCTCTCCAGCCGTCTCTTTTAATGCACAATTGAGTCATATAACGCGTTACACAACCTCACTACTGAAGCTCAGATACTTTCAGCTTCTGGGCTTTTCTGGAACGTTCTGGCAGCCTTTATTCCAGCCCAACAGATGTGAGTTTTCTAAATCAGATGTGTGTGTGGGAGAGACGCGATTATGGTGCAGAGACTGAATGATGTTATCTGAATTAAATCTAATATCATTCGAGAGAATATAAACCACATATCAAAAGCAGTTTGTTTTATTCTTTAAAATATCATAGAAGTAACTGGTACACATTAAATGAGTTTAAAACTATTTCAAGAATGCTGTCTGTGTTTCAAAACCTAGTGAGCTAGACAGCATGTTTGCTTTTGAATATTTAAACACTTCTATGATGTCCAAAAAAGCTGTCTAGGAAGGCAGCTCAAGTTTTGAAACACATGTTTGGTGTATGAAGGACAATGAATGAAAAAAAGAATCAATTATGAATTTTAAATAACTAAAATAGCTTTTAGTTAAAGTTAAATTACTTTTAAATAACTAAATAAAATTATTAATAAATACAATAAATAATAAATAACATAACATTCCAAATTGACAAATAAAAGGTAATTATTTAATTAATTTTTCAAATTTTATGAAATGTAACACATGCCACACACTTTGCCACTCAAGTCTATTTATTTGTTAGTTAGTCTGAAAAGCTTTTTTTATTTTTTTTTATTAATCCTTTACAAGCAGCACTCTTAGTCTTTAGAATTTTCTAAGTCACTTTTCACTGATCTATATTGATGTATGTCAGGTTCAATTTGTGTATGTAATTTACACCTACACAAATTCAAAATATTAATATAATTGTGCAACTATGATATTGAAATATCACTTATCTACAAAGGTCAAGCATGACGCATTGATACTGGCAGGTTTTTTTTCTTGTAACATTGACAATCCATAAATAACTTTAATAGGTTTACGAGGAAAATACTGAACGTACACACACACACACACACACACACGCACACGCACACGCACACACACACACGCACGCGTGCGCGCACACACACACACGTGCGCACACACACATACACATACAAACACACGCGCGCGCACACACACACACACACACACACACACACACCTGTAAGAGCTCCTTGGCAGAACCTCTCTTCTCCACGTCCATTTCCAGACAGCGGTTTAAGAAATCCCGGAACACGGATGAGAGTTTCTCTGGGTTCTGCAGCTCCGGCGTTCCATTGGTGGCGATGAGATACAGAGCCTGGACAACAGCAGGGGTTAAAGGTCACACAGAATTCATCTACATTAACTACAGCATCAGTTCCATTCATTTAAAAAAGAAAAAAGCTATTTGAAATGTTCTTGTAGATCCCACATCATGATCTAATGGAAAACTATACAAAACCATCCAGAGGTTTCTAAAAATATATGAACAGACAAAGCCCACTGTTGCCAAATATTTATCTCACTGTTCTCACCACTGCTTCAGTATTTGTTTGCCACAAATTAACCACAGGTCTGCCCACAAATAGTTTTAGCAAATGTATTAAGATAAAAGCCTTTAAAGCTGATGGAGGTCGAAATCAATGTTGCATTCTGTCCTCCCACAAAGCATCAATCGATGAAATCAATGCAGTTTCCATCTGGAGAGCATCTGATGTTACTCTCGTTCACATGAGGCCATATTTAAAATAATTCAATGATCTGAAACAAAGGGTGGATCTCAGCATCATCTTGGGATCACAAGTGGACAGCATTAGGTCTATATGTGCACCTGATCTTATGCAACAGCCTCAAAAGTCCAATTAATGCAAGCACACTTGTGACATCCCTTTATTTATTTATTTATTCATTCATTCATTCATTCTTTCTCAGTATTAGACATTTATTTATTTATGTATTTAATTTCTATTTTTCTATATGATTTTGCATGTAAAAAGCTAAATTTTATTAAACAATTAATTGAAATCAGGAACAGATACATTTATCAAATATTATATACATTTAGACTGTTTTATTTCACTGTTTAAATTAGACTATTTATTTATTTCAGAATCTATTTTTTATTTTTTTATAAATCATTTTGTGTAAAAAGCAAATAAATGTAAAAAATGTAAACAAACAATCAATTCAAATCAGAGACATATAAACATTTAAATTACACATTTACACTATATATACTATATATAAAAACAATTAAAATGTATATATATATATATATATATATATAAATTTTAATTGTTTTTGTTCCACTGTTTAAAATGCAATAAAAAAAAAGCAAACAAATGTTTTGTCAGTCCAAGTATTTTAGCATTGACAGATTTTGAGTTTATTTTTCTAGATTGTGCATCTCTTTGTTTATTAGTTTTGGACAGAAGGGGTTTCTGAATTTCATCTGTCTATTCAAATCTTATTTGTTTTTGTTTCATATTACTGTTTTAAGACCTTTATTGTCTTAAAACCTTCTACGGAATTTGATTTCTTTCTTTTTTCCCTTCTCTCCATGTAAAATACTGCAGTATCACCACGTTTTTTTAGACATGGTACCATGGTAATACTGTAGTTGTTGGAAACCCATAGTTTTTGGACATGGTACACTAAAGTACTGCAGAGAATACCATGGTTCATAATATGGTAATCATTCAAGGCCATAATACCATGTAAAAACCATGGTTCATGAATCTGTCAATCACTCATATCTCACAGGAAGGAACTCTTCTGAAATCTGTAGTGATAAGGTGCACATATAAGTGAGTTTGGATGTCTTTAGTCTCACCCTCAGAGGGTTTTCGTTGAGGTACGGCGGTTCGCCCTCGATCATCTCGATAGCCATGATGCCCAGGGACCAGATGTCCACTTTGGGGCCGTACGCCTTGCGGGTCACCACCTCCGGGGCCATCCAGTAGGGCGTCCCAACCATGGTGCTTCGCTTGCTCTGTTCAGGAGTGATCTGAGCGCAGAAGCCGAAATCAGCTGACAGACAGACAGACAGACAGACAGACATGTTTAGACCGGCCGGTGTTAGATAAACTGAAAGCATATCAGCAGATGCAATGGACATAATCTGTACTCTTGCTCCCTCTACTGGTGAAAAATATAAAGCCTTTGCACAAATAAACACATGCAGTAAATCACATTCATGCTTGCTTTAAATCATTATCAAAGCCGTGGATGAGAAATGTAATCATTTAAACAGCACTTGAGGCCAAGATTTAAAAGTTTTGCAACCAAAATCAGAAGAAACAGTTTTAGGTCAAACTCACTGAGTTTGACGGAGCCGTCCATGCCCAGGAGAATGTTGTCGCTCTTGATGTCTCTGTGAATGACCTGACTCGAGTGCAGAAACTCCAGCGCTTGGAGACACTGCATGGAGAATGAATGAAGCAAACTCAAACATGCATTTCAGGGACAAGAGGCTCACGTGACACAAAAGCCAGACAGCACTGCAGAACCCACTGCAAACAAGCTCAGTTTTAATATTTTGTTATGTGCTTTTGTCATTTTTATTAGTTTTATTTTGATATTTCTATTTAGTAATTTATTTTTATTTCGGTTTTAGTAATTAACTAATCTTAGTACTTCAGCTTAATATTTAGTATTATTTAAACTTTTATTTTATTATTTATACTTTAGTACTTCAACTTACTATATAGTATTATTTATACACTATTTAGCATTTATTAATCTTTTGAATTAGCTTTTAATTTTATATTTTCAGTTTTTTTTTAATTATTATTAAGTTTTAGTATTTTGTTATGAGCTTTTGTTGTTTTATTAGTTTTCTATAGATATTTCTGTTTAGCTGTAATTTTTTTCAGTTTTAGTCATTTTGATTTAGTAACTAAGTTTAGTACTTAATCATACTATATAGTATAATTTATATACTATTATAGTATTTATTAATAATTTGAATTAGCTTTTGTTTTTATATTTTCAGTTTTAGTAATTTTATTGTAAGTTTCAGTATTTCATTATGTGAAATACTGATCATTTATATTCGTTTTTTTTTTAGATATTTAGTTGTAATTTTTTAAATGTATTGGATTGAACCAACTTTAACCCTAATGTTAAATTTTAGTAATTTTGTGCGTTTGACTTTTTTTCTATTTATGTTACTTTCAGTTAGTTGCCAAAACAACATTTCTTTTTTTTTTAATTATACGTTTTTTAAGTTTATTTCAGCTTTATTTAAATGACCAAAAATGACAAATACCCCAAGATTGCTGACATCCCAAGAAAAGATGATTATAGTTAAATTCAGTATATACTAAATATAGTTGGACTGAAAATATACTGCAGAAAATGGGAATTCAATCAAATTGCAAATGTGCTATTTCACTTAACGTTTGTGTGTGCTGTGTATTATGCTTATTAAAGTATTTTGTTGTTAGGTTAGCTAACATCAAAATCTATTGGAATTAACTCTGTGAGTTTTATTTCAGAAACTCCACTAATGAGCTCCTGCCTATGCAGAGTGTTCCAAATCATTCATTTGTGAGGTTCCATTTCACTTAGGATACTCCCTTAGTAGGCATCTAGACAGCAAGGCAGCTCAGTAGGTTTGGAATAATTCCACACTCACTTCCCGACAGACGGCGGCGATCTGCGCTTCATCCATACACGTCTCCGTCACCACGTCCGTCAGGGAGCCTCCGGCCAGATACTCCATCACCACCCACAGCTCGTCTCCCACCAGGTAACTACGGCAACAAGACCGCATCGTCAACACACGCCACATCTCTGAGTGATGCAGCAGCATCGCCGTGACAACAGAATCACTGGATGCTCCTGCTTTTATTAGTGCAGGCATGGAGAAACTCACCATGGACACAGAAAAACACATCAGAGCCAAACATGAAAACGCTGTTAAAACCCGAATACGTCTTAGATGATGTCGCCACAACAGCGATCTCCTCATCACATCATTTTAATGTGACTTTTTTTCATTACAGACTCATATTCGTCTGATTTTCATTATCTTTAGAAACAAAATTGTTTAAGATCATCAGACTTGTTTTTAAAGAAAATATATTTTATATTATTCATTATTATTTTTATTTTTATTCATTATCATTTTAAATGTATTCTTTTTCTTGACTTACGCATAGTTGAGCAGATTTTGGGAAGTTTGCAAAGTTTGTGCTTAAAACAAGAAAAAAAGTAGTTAAAAATGCAAGAAAAAATTTTTTTTTTTTTTAAAATATAATGTTAAAAAAAAGAAAAAAAATAATAAAAATCTAACAAAAAATAAAAGAAACTATGAAAGAACATAACAGAAACTATAAAAGAAAAAAATATAAATATATAAAAAATAAACAGAAATATAACAAAAAACAAATGGAAAAAAGAAAACAACTTTAAAAAGAAAACAAAAAGAAAAGAAATAAAAAAGAAAATATAATGTAAAAGAAAAAAGAAAATGGCAAAAAAAAAGGAATATAACAAAAAATTTAAAGAAAAATAAAAGAAAATAACAAAAAATAAAAGAAAATATATCAAGTAATAAATAGAAATATAACAAAAAAACAAATGCAAAAAAAGTTAATACAACTTTAAAAAAATAAACAAACAATGTAAGAAAATATAACTTAAAAAAAGAGACAAAAATACAAAAATGTACTTAGAAAAAAGAAAAGAAAAATAAACCGGAACACATGGTACAGGAAGGTACAGGAAAACAAGACAGAATACTGATTAGGAAAAAGCTTAATCTAATGAACTGACCTGTCCAGGTAATTGACGATGTTGGGGTTCTTGTTTTCCCTCATGACTAAGATCTCGTTGATGATCAGCTCTTTCTTGGGCTGCTGCTGTAGGTTCATCTGTTTGATGGCCACCTGAGAGACGAAACATCCGAATCAAAGCTTTCAGACACACTTGACGATGAATCAGAGATCTCTCCGTTAACATGAGTGAGGACTGGTTTGAGATGAGCTGTGTGTGTGTGTGCAGGTTCAGCTCTGAGGAATGCCATCAGATCAATATCCTATACCGTTTCCCTCCTGCATCCCCTGATTCATTGGTATCGATCAGCCAGAGCGGCGAAGTCTCTGTCAGAGGCATGTTAATGATGACGAGAGGTGCCCTCTATTAACCGGAAGAGCATGTGGACACTGAAAAGACTGTCGATATCTCCAACGCTCTGATAAGCATTCACCATATGCTGCCAAATGGCATATTTGCTATGCAATTTCAGAAAATGTACAAAATATAAGAGCAACAACAGCTAATAGACTAATAGAGAAGGAGTTTGGGTGGTAGAAGGACATTGTTGGGATGCAGTTGCAAGGGTGTTCTGGACAGTTGCTTATTTATAAAATGATGGTTTCTTACTGGACTGCCTTCCAATAGTGCATGCAAGTTTGAAAATGATATAACGTATAACATAACATATAATAACATATCATAACATAACATAACATAAAATAACAACATCACATCACATCACATCACATCTGTTATTAGTAGTAGTAGTAAATCATTTTATGTTTTATGTTTTGATTTTATTGTAGCTGTAATTAAACTTGAATTAAAGTTAATTTTAAAAAATCTGAATATATTCTCTTTTTATTTTATACAATATGTTTAAATCAACAATCCTATGGGCTATGAGTTTGAAAATACTGACCTCATGACGTTCTATTTTAAGCATCATATTTGCTGGACAAACATCTCTTAATGTGCAATACATCATGCATGTGCTAATGTTGCTTTAACACCCATTAGGACATATACAATTAATACAATTTGATATTTTACAGGTAAACAAAAAATACAAAGATTTTTTGTATTTTATTTTATATTTTATTTAATTTTAATAATGGTATTATTTGAAGTAGCAGTAGTAAATATTTTTTTTAACAATTTTAAGCTGTTTTTATTTTATTTTAATTTACTGCAGTAAGAAACAAAATTAAAGAAGTAAACTTAATTCAAAAAATATTCTCTGAATATATTCTCTTATTATTTTATACAATATGTTGTTTAACTCAATAACCCTATGAGCTATAATAATAGCGTTGCTTGCCTTATAGTGGAGTTCGTGTAAGTATTGATCTCATGATATTCTATTTTAAGCAAGACATTTCTTGGACAAACATGATGTAACGCATGCAACACGTCATGCATGTGCTGAATGTTGTTTTAACACCTGTAAGGAAGTGCTCTGGTGTCATACTGCAGATGAGCAAACACGCATCTAGCTGACATCTGTATGAGAAACATGTCTCACCTCTTGTCCCGTGGCGATGTCTATGGCTGTGTAGACCGTTCCAGACGCCCTGATGAGGGACGGAAATGAAGATCAGGATGATTGTTTGAAGACTGTGAGATCTGGCATAAATAATAAGACATCCATCATTAAACTCACCCCTGGCCAATCTTCTCAAATCGCGTGTACTTCTTCTTCGGGTCGCCCACGCTGACTATACTTCCTGTGGAGTGGAGGTCACATGTTATTTCAAGAAAAACAAAACGCCACAAAAAATGAAAACTGAAGAGACACAGATGGGGGGAGGAGGCAGCTGTTTAAAAGACAAAGTAAAGGAATGAAAATGCAGTGTTTCAGGATTGTGAGAGAGCTGCACAACGAATCGAATTTATAATCAATATAGTGATATGACCTTGTGCCATTATTAAACTGGAGATTAGATGGAGGTGTTTGTTTATTTATTTACTTTTTTAAATCAGTCAAAATAAAGGCTCAAGGCTAGTCTAGGCTGCCTTACAATAGTGCATGCAAGTTTAAAAATTAACCTAATTTTATATATATATATATATATATATATATATATGTACGATTATTGTATATGATTATTGAAGTGCAAAAATACAAGAAAATTTAGTCTTTTATTTTATTGCAATAAGACATATAAACTTAAAATTAAAAAGTTGATTTTACGTTTATAATAAAAAAAATATAACTTTAAAAAGAAAACAAAAATAAAAGAAATAAATATAATGTAAAAGAAAAAATAAAATAGCAAAAAAAAGGAAAATATAACAAAAAATGAAAAAAAAAAAAATTTTTTTTCAGTTTAGTCTTTTATTTTATTGCAATAAGAAATATAAACTTAAAATTAAAAAGTTGATTTTACGTTTATAATAAAACTATTCTTAAGCAAATATATCTTTAATTTTTAATACTTTAAGGATTATATTTATAAAAAGTTATACAATTAATACAATTATATATATTACAGGTAAACAAAATACTATTTAGCACAATTATATTATATGCTGTTTTTCTTATTTTATTTTGTTTTATATTTTTTATTTTATTTTATCTTATCTTCTCTTCTCTTAGTAGCTGGGTTCCATACAAACAATGTGAATGAAATATTAATTGAGGCATGAGCTCTGCTCAACTTCGTCACATTGCCAATGGTCTCGGTTGCTTGTGTTTTGCTGGAAATCACGACAGGCCTCGCTTGCAAGCTCTTTTCAAATGCTTTGTTCTTTTAGTCTTTCACTATGCCTTTTGTTAAATATATAGCCTATCATGTTGCGGCTTGTAATTGGAGGCAAATATTTGTCAAAATAAATGGCATTTAATTTTTGCCATATCAAGCAGCTGTTTGTGAGAATCATTTGCCTCACAGTGGTCACATATAAGAAGAGGGATGCTCAGCTATAAGACACAGTCGTCTGTTACTCAAACAGTCATGAACTGAGATCAGACACATGCTGTGAAGGAAAGCACACGATCGTTTCCAGTCAAAACATGTTGAGCAATGAGAGAGACGGGGAAGAAAAGGCCTCTAAACCCTTAGGAAAAGACAGAGTTACAGGCAGTGAGGTAACAGAGGCTTGGAAAACACAGAAAGGAAGAAGGCCGAGTTCTGATCAGAGATATACGACGTCTTAAATTCAGGGAAAGACAGGAACATCTTCAGCTTGATGTGTAACCCGGCAACTATTGATGAACGGCCGTTTTAAATGGTGGACGACAAATCTTTGGCCAAGAGGGGCCTGAAGTGACAGAGCGGGGCAGGAGAGACACACTGGATGACTGCAGCAGCATCCCGATCTTACCAGCAGAGGGAGATCTGAGCACGTCTGGAGCATATGGGGTTTTTAATAAGATACAGGTTCTTAGAAAGTCATGCATCTCTAGAGCAGCTCAGACTAAATGACTGGGAATCATTTCATGCTAAATAATAACAATGCATATAAAATAAAACAATAACGAGAATAAAATAAGGCAACGCAAAAAAATAAGCATGGCATGAACGACTCGATCAAGAGGTCAAAGCAGGTTTGAATTTTTCCAAAAATAAATACATCACACATATTTGATATGTCAGGAATAATGTGCAGCCAGCCGGTCATTAACATAAAATAAACCTTGAAAGTGTGATCTGGGGTTTAGCAATAATCTCTCGCTGACTGCACATTACCCTGCTTATTACAGGGCTACTTACTAAATAAATAAATCATTGGACATGAAATATTGATTTGTATGCAAATTATTATCACATGGGAAAAAGAGACCTGAAGAGAGAATAGCACAGCTATGCCTTGGATGGATTAAATAAATATACTCTAAAAAATATATATATAATATAAATGCATCATTAATAAATATTTTATTATTGTTATCTGCCATTTTTTTAAATACACTAATCAGAACTTTGGGGTTGTAAAGAAATCTCTTCTGCTCACCAAGGCTGCATTTATTTCATACAAAATGCTGTAAAAATAGTAAAAAATGTCATATTATTATAAATTAAAATAAGTCTTTTCTATTTAATACATTGTAAACTGTAATTTATTTCTGTGATCAAAGCTGAATTTTCAGCATCCAGTTACATTACTCCAGTCTTCAAATGTATATATCAAATAAACTATAGTTTCCAGTCCAGTTTCTAAGACACGCGTATCAGACCACATGGGGCCCAAACGGAGCAATGGATGATTCACAAGACATTCTGGGAAAGGACCGGCCGGCCGGCACCCACAGACACAATAAAACACGGATTCCAGCACAGCTCGGTCTGAAGTGACTCAAGTGAATATAATTCTCTCCTCAGACCTTCACAAGCCGAACAAAACCCTCAACATTTCTGCTCACAGGAGCCTCGCTTCTTAATCTGTTCAAACAGAACCAGATCGCTGTGACGCGTATTAAATGTCCTACTCTTTTCTCTGAAGATTACTTTACAGCACTGGGGTTGGGCTTATGTTCTTTAATTCATTGTGGAGACAAAAAACAGCACAAACAAGCAGCCAAAGAGCTGAAGTGTGCAGTCAGAAGTTGATTCACCACAGTGACACCATGGAAACTGTGTACAGCAGCGTCCATCCTGATACTCATTCAGAGAGAAAAACACAGAAAATACTGTTCTTTACTTTTAACCTCAGAACAAACACAAGCTTTGTGTGCAAAGGGTTAATAAAACACCAGTACAACACGAGCAGATGAAGATCAGAGCATCAGCTTTCTGAATATCCCAATTTCACAACAACGTTAAGACACATACTGTATGAAAATAATAAAATAAAATAAAATAAAATAAAATAACAAAGAGGTGTAAAAACAAAAACAAAAACAAAAAATTAAATGAAAACTAG